CTACAACTTTGCAAACGAACAAATTGGTGTATTCTGTTATATTCATATGATAATCTCTCTGCTTGCCATTATTCTGGGTGAATTGGAAATTTGAAAGGGGGGATTTTACTGAATGCCCCTTTCTGCTCCTTTTCTTCTTTGTTTCCCTCTTTGAAAGCCCACATTCAAGGCCCTGTCACTATCACAAGCAACTCGGTGCCTTTGTGTGGATCCTCTTTTCTTGTCCATAGCTGGTCTGTGAAGGCGCCTTGGCTGTTCAGTAGTTATGAACTGACAATTTAAAAGTTTGAACCCACCAGCCACCCCCTATGGCCTGGGGATCTGGTCGCATAAGGATGGGAGACTGGAACCCCCGGGGCTAGTTCTCATCTTGTGGCGTCCTAGGGGCTTGAATCAGCTCAGTGGTCCAGAGTCACAGCTCTGGACTCGAATCAGCTCAGTGGTCCAGCGCCACAGCTCTGGACTTGAATCAGCTCAGTGGTCCAGCGCCACAGCTCTGGACTTGAATCAGCTCAGTGGTCCAGAGCCACAGCTGGCCTTCGCCTTAAAGACAAGGCACACTTGCAGATCCTGCATCTGCTTCAAAGGAGCCACTGTCTGCTGAGGGCCTGCTTTGGACCTGCATCAATAGCCTTAGAAGGTGGCCAGCTGGAGGGTCAACACAGAAATGGGTTTCTGGGTCTGCCATTTTTCACGGGAGTAGAAACCCTCACCATTCTCCCATGCAGTGGCTGGTGGTTTTGAACTGCTGCCCATGTGGTTAGCAGCCCAAGGCACAAACCACTACGCCACCAAGGCTCCTATCTTGGACAGAGCGGGTCAATACTAGTTTTCTTTTTCTGTCTTCATGCATCCCTCTTTGTTATCCCTGCATCCCAAAACCATTCATTACTCCAGCGGCAAGCAGCCTCGTGGTGGTGTTAAGCCCGTAGTTGCAGGCACCAGGATAGCGCTTCCAACCGTGAGCGACCGCTCGATGGCTTCACACCCTTGGGCAAGGTTCTTCGCTTCGCTGTGCCTCAGCTGTCTGATCGTGAAAGCGAGCTGACAGTAGGACCTGCCTCCTGGATGA